CGATGCTCGGTGTTGTGACCCTACGTAATTGGTCAGCCTTAACGCCGGTGATTTCGCTGTATAGGTCTGGACTATCTGTTCAGCGTGCTCCGACATGTTCAAGACTAAGGTTGTTGGCCGTCGTGCCCGCAGTGCAACCTACCAAGGATACGAACACCCTGGGGACCAATGAAACACTCTGGGTCGGGCTTTACCTTGGCTCTCAAGGCTCGCCAAAATTGCCGCCAAAAAAGGTGTGTACATTTTCAAAGGTAGGTCGTCTACATACATATATTTTTTTAAATCCGGGCCCCCTCGGAGCACACGCAGAACCAATTGCCTGGGGCCAGTTCAATAACCTAGCAATTATTCTTCGAAGAGACGTCAACGACCCCAACTGACTTGCTTGCGCTGAATGCTTCATTGTTGTGGGGCTCAGACGCCATACAAGCTTATCCAATCAGAGCTTCGATTATAGCTAGGTTTTGCCTAGGGCCTAGGGAGCTGTGGTTAGACGGCTGGGAACAAAGGTTCGAATCACAAACCAAGTCGGTGGTGAGGCCATGCAAGAGCCTCTATGGACACCGGGCAGCTCTGGTAGGAATAACTGTCCAAGATCTTGATAAATTAGGGGGGAAAAGAATCAAAAGAGTCTATAGACTATCCTCCCCTAAACTTCTGAAACTCTGGCGCCAACTCCGTGTGCTTCACCCCGCAAAGGGTCATGAGCTTCTGCAACTCGCAGTTTATGCCCTTGTCATCGTGCTTGGTCACAAAGCTGATGCAAAGGCATCACTGACGAGCGCGAGCTCCCGTCCTGCTCCGGCCGCGATTGCTTCATGACGTTGAAGTTCTGCTTCATAAAATCTTTGCATTTCGGACTGCGCAAGGACCATCCAGAGCTGCACGAGGGAATCGCGCACAGGTTGCCTAGATGTCCTCGATCGGAAGGCCCGAAGGTAAGTCGTCGAGTTGGAGCATTGCATCCTCGGATTTTACGTTCGGGCTCATAGAAGGGCTCCGCAAACCCGCATCAAGCGATGATTGCACCCTCGCCATAGGCAACGGGCAGCATCCTCCTCTGCCCTTGGCAGGTCCAGATTGCATAGACCTTCTCGAAGAACTCCTGAAGATCTTGTCCTCCTCTGTTCTGGACTCCGAGGTTCTCGGTCTCTCACCTTCAATGTTGACTACAAACATTGAATCACCATTTCGGACAGTCGTGTCTCGGTTGCTCTTGTTCTCGGGTTTGCCGAACATGGACGAGACTAGCCGTCCTTGGCGAAGACCTTGCCTTTCTTGTGGGGTTGCGCGGCTTCGAGGCTGAGGGCTTTGCCTTGTCCTCTTCAGTGGTGGTACTGTCAACAGACACCGCCACTGGGTCATCGGCTGTGGATTCTCTAGCTGCAGGTAACTCAATCTCGCCGCCCCCAAAAGTCATAGTCGTATCTGCACATGATCCAGATGTTGTTCTGAATGATGTTGATCAACGACCAGACTCTTGTAGGCGAAGCCTACGGCTGGTAACCTGCTCGACGGTTTGTTGTCGATATTGTCTCGGGTGCTCACCGCACCCAGCTCATAGATATGATTTGTGGCTGCCAAGTGTTGAAGTCGCAGTTGATCACTGCAGTCCCCACCTTTCGCCTTGCAACCACACGAACTGGAACTCTTTTTTCACGGATAGCGCTCAGTCGTAGATTTGTGCAGCGGGAACGGCTCGGACTCTTGGATCAGGCGCCTACAACTGAGTCGTAAGCTGTTGGCTAATGGCAGTTTCTTGAGCCACAAAGGTGCGTTCTGAGGCGGACCACTTGAAAGCACTTACACTCGGCACGGCAGAAGTGTAAATGGATTTGTTCTCTGTGTAGTGAGTTGTCGCATGCAATCTCCTGACCTTTTTTTTCGCGAAGGTTGCTGAATCTGCGATGCTTTCGGAGGCAGAGCTAGAAGTCTGGGCAACGCGATGCCGAGGAAAAGTTCCCCCGCGTGGGCGGATGGGTGAAAAAGGAAGCTAGATACAAGCGTGTGTGAATGCATGCGTGTTTCTTGTGTGGAACCAGTGCGGCGCGGCGCATGGCATGAAAACATTACACAAGAAAACACAGAGGAAGAATAAATAACCAACCACAGCCGGCGTGGTAGAGCACAGTCTGCTATGCAGGCCTGTGGTATCTTGATCATGGCTCGCTCGCATAGCTCTGATCACTGATCCAGGCCGGGCTTCGGGATAAATACTGACATATACTGAATTATACTGAGAATGACCCGGCATGCACGGCCCCTTTCTGCTCAGTTGGTAATGTTCGTACGCACTAATCCATATGTGCGCATGCCTTTGTATACACATGTGCTAGCATACATGTGGGAGGGGGTGCCATCCATATACATATATATAGATAGAGAGATAGATACATAGATAGCTAGATTGTTAGATAGCTAGATAGATAGATAGATAGATAGATAGAAAAGTCTGTGTGTGTGTATACACACATATACATACAATATATCTCATCTCTCTCCTCACTTTCCTCTCTCCTTCCCTCTACGTGTCCCCACCAGCTCGAGCTCGAGCTCCGCGAGTTCCGCGAGCTCCTGATGAAACGTCTCGAACTCTGAATGCGAGCCCTGCGCAGGGCCACGTGCACCTCCTGGTGCGGTCCTGGCCCTTGCATCCCGACTTTGGCTCCTGCACTCAAGGCGCCATAAGATACTTCGATCGTACGAGGGTCCGAAAATCCTTCCGATGGTGCAAGCGTGACAAGGGCACGGACGGGTCCTCGCCCACGACGGGGCCGAATGGCATGGCGCTGGGCTCTTCTATGATGGGGCCCAGGCTGTTGAAGTCTGCCCGGGGACAAGCATCTTCAGGACGGGTCCCGCTGGGGGCTTTCATGAACGCAGATGGCTTGCACAACTCCTGGCCGTGATCGCTTTCAAGCCAAATCGCAGCAGGGCCACGGCCACAGATTGTCGTGCTCTGTCAAAGCTCGAGGTTCGTTCTCCGCTTGGCCGCTTTCCCCGCTTTCGCTTCGCTTGCATGCGCCCCGCTGCTTCTTTCGATGTGGCCACTTTTCCCCGACCACGCTGTGTTATTACAGCGGTTCGGCGTCCAGGGCACCACCGTCTGCCCGGTGAACTCGCCTGGCAGCGATGTCGAGACTTCTTCGAAGCCTTCCGCCCGGAGCCGCCGCACTGCCTCCTTCCGAGAACCGAGCGCCGCACACAGCTGCGAGCTGCGACACGAGCAGAGATGAAAACTCATTCTCTACAAACCTCGCCTCGAACCCCGAGGCTTATGCGAGCAAGCGAGCAAGATGGCCCCGTCCCGACGCTCTTCTGAGGGCGGGAGCGGTGGAACGGCAAAGCCAAGGCCGGCACAATGCTTGCATCATACCCCGCATATACACATCTACACATATTATGTACATATACATATACATATATATATATATTCATACATATAGATACATACATCTTTACATATTTACCTATCTACATATGTACATATGTACATATACGCACATATGTACACACATGCATAGATACATGCATACATACATACATACATACATACATACATACTTCCATACATACTTCCATACAAAATCAGACATACATGTATGCGTATACACAAATATGTATATATATATATGCATACATTTTTGGTAGTCGTGCTCGACGAGGTCAGGCGAGGTTTACGGCGGCAAAGCAAACATCGTCGGCTCATCACCAGCTCGAGCTCAGGCCAAGTTTACCAAAGCCCTTTGGTATAAAGCCCTCATTTATACACATATACATATGTATATACATATATGCATATATTAAGCATATAAGGTGTGAGGGATGAACACTCCAAAACGAGAGGAAAACGACGTTCACCCCTACTTGGCGACTCAAACTGATCTGAAGCCTTAAACACGCCCCCTCATCTGCGATTCCAATTCATCATATAATATCTTCAACACGCCCTCAGTTGGCGATCCCGGCTCAGCATATATCTTAAGGCCTTAAACACGTACCCCGCCATTGGCGATTACGGTTCATCATATATCTTAAGGCCTTTAAACACGCCCCCCTCGATTGGCGATTCCGTTCATCACCTTTCGTAAACATTGCGCTTTGTTGGGCGTTCCGACTCATCATAGTTACCGTAAACCGCAGGTGTTTTAAACACGCTCCCTCATCTGGCGATTCCGGTGGATTAAACAGCCTCAAACGCGCCCCCTCATTTGGCAAATCCGGTTCATCATATATCTTAACACGCCCCCTCAATCGCCGCTTCTATCCCACAACCCTCAAATCCCCCAAACTCAAACACATCCTATTTAACTCCTAAACCTGCCCCAAACCATAAACCCCAAGCCGTTATGTTCCAAGGTTCTCGGACAGAACAAAAAGAGCTGTGTCTTGCATTCGTGGACTCTTTCGCCGATCGGACCTCCGAGAAATCATACGCTTCTGCGTTTACCTAGTGTTGGTGACGATACACTTCAGGTACTCGTAACTAGTAGTAGTATAGGGGTACTGCCCGCTGCTTTGCTCGTTGATGTTCGATGTTAATACGTGTTTGCTCGTTGATGTTCGATGTTAATAAGTGTTTCCTAACAGAAAGCAAGAAAGCAAGAAACAAAAAGCAAAATAAAAGCTACAGGCAAACACAAACACAGCAAAACAAAAGCGGAACAACAGAAAGCAAAACCAAAACAAAACTCCAGAAACACTCTCGGGCCGAAATCCTTGAGCCCCATTTGATGCAAAGGCTTCTCTCTTGACTCACGACAGCGACAGGGCAGCAGCATGCAGCAGCACTGCGCAATACCTTGTTTCTGCGCATGGATACCGCTGTCCACAAGCCACTAAAGGCCAGTGCCTTTGACTCACAGCATGAAAGGACCTCGGCCTCTTGAAGCGGCAAAGGCAAAGAAAAACGATCTCTGCCAGCGGGTCAGAACGGATGCACGTCGCTCTAGGATAGAACGGACCAAACAACTAGTGCAGTACGCCAGTGCGACGTCTCATTACGTCGTGCCCTCACGATCAGGGGAAGCCTCTGCAAAAGAAGCTTCAGCGGCATCTCGTGCAGTGCCAGTCAACGGGCGAACTTCCGGACGAAAATGCACAGCCTTTCGCGCCTCCGTCCCAGGCGCACCCAAGAAATACGCCCAGCCCTTCCATTGACCAAGCTTTCCTGAGTTATTGATTGAAGTGAAGAAAATTTTGGCACAGGAGAAAAAACCAAAGCTGCTGCCAAGGTTCCATAGTATTGATCTGGGCGGCTTGGAATATATGGGTTCCTTTTTTCGCCCATTTGAATCCACCTGCAAGCTTCGGTCGAAGCGCAACCCAATGGGGTGATGTACAGTCGCCGAGCGGCTCTTCCCACTCCTCCTGGTTGTCCCAGAGGCCCATGGCCCGCACCCATTTGACACAATCGTCGAACGGAAGAAAACACCTGCAGATCAGGCATGGGAAAACTCTCGCACCCCGGATGGGCTCTGCTTAGCCGCTTGGCAGGGCCTCTTCCGCCGCAGGATTGCTCGTCTTGCCTGCTCTTCCAGCTCGGTGCGGAAGAGCCGCACGTAGTCCTGCTAGCAAGGCTTGAACCTATGTCCGCAAGTGATCCTGTGTGAGCTGCTGGGAAAAGGCATGCATTGGTTTATGTCGCCGGGCCTGTTCATCGAGGAAAACCAGCTTGTTCGTATCTAAGCCTCGCCACACTTCTCCGAAGTTCGGTAGCAAAATAACTGTACGTCCTCCCTAGCCCTAGCCCCAAGAAGCTCAAGCTACAATAAGGCAGCAGCTCTCGTCCTGACCTGGGCACAAAGCTGGGTTGCAGAGTGCGTCAACTTCTGCTGCGCAGGTTCGCTGAGACAAAGTAAGTCTGCTGCCGTCTTTGGACTTGGCATGACGCGCTGTGCGCCCACAATTGCTGGATCCTTCACAAGAGCCTGCATGCTTTTGCTCGCCGGCACCGGCAAGACATTCGTACTCTCTTTGTCCGCTTTCATTCTTTCTTTCGCAAGGCCTGGGGTGAGCTCGTGTGCACGCCAAAGGTTGTGTCTGCACGGCGTTGGGCGGCTTCACGAATTTCGTATTCTTGGTTCTCTTGTCCCTCACCTCTTCTTCTCCCAGGCATCCCGGGCAATTTCCGAGTTCGTTTGCTCTCTCCTTCTTCCTCCTTCCATTGAGCATAAGGGGCGTCCGAAGCCCCCCGGCCACCATTGTCCCCCATTGCTTATGGGGCTTTCGGGAGGACTGTGATACACACACAGCACAAAACCAGGTCTTCCCACGTACCAAGTTCGGAACAACAGAAGCTCATGACCAATCTTTGGTACGTAGTTCCCCGGTTGACATGCATGGACACCAACATAATTCAAACACAGCTAGTTGCATCCCCCACCCACGGGAGCAATCTCGAGGAGAAGGACCTCGAAAAAGTGAAAACAATGATTAACTGGTGCTTGTTTGGAGCCTTGTTGTGCGAAAAGTTGGGCACATCTCAGCTGAAAGAGCCGTAGCTAGGGCGAAGCTACACTCTCCTCTCCTTCTTCCTTCAGCGCGAGGCTCCCCGGCCCATAAGGCCCCCCAGTTTCTCGGGGCTTTCGGGGAGAGAGCTATCTTCTCCCCTCCCTCTCTCTCTCTACCACGTGGGGAGAACTGGGGTAGGTCCGTCCCCAGCCCTCCGCGCGCAAGCGCGCACCTGCAGTCCTCAGGTGTCTTTTCTCCCCCCACTACTGTGTAATGAGGGGCTCGGCTGTACTGACAAGTTGTTGGCTTCCCCACTGCCTCGTTTTGCAAACATAGAATTAAGCATCAAAGTCAAGAATAGAATCCCCCGGGCAGTGGTTCAGTCTGAGCTCGCAGCCCCCTATCCTCTCTCTCTCTCTCTCTTTCCCTCCCGGGCATGAGGGCCGGTCAGGGCTCCCGGGCAAACTGCCCACCCGAATATATTAATTCGGGTTTCGGGGGACCGAATCGTTTTGATCGGACGCAAGGAAGTGAAGAGCGAATGCTCGCACGTAGCATGGCAAAATAAGCTACGCGCAATTGCCTCTGCTCACAGGCTTGCTCAAGGGTCGCCGTCTGGCGAACGACTTGAAACCTTTCAGACCGCTGCCTCCGACATGCACCAGCTGGGAGCAAGGAGAAGGCTGCAGCTTTTGCTGAAATGCTTAATGGAGACCTTACCAGCGGCAAGCCCACCCACTTCTGTTCCGCTTTTGCTTCATGACGCAGAAGCGCGTCGGAAGATGTCCAACGTGCTGTGCAGCTGGGCACTGGCTGCCATGCCGGACACTCCAGCACCTGGAAAATGGACGAGGTTGTGGAGTGGTTTGGTCTTTGTCCTGGTGGGGACACTGTGCCACAGTTTCCTTCTTCAGTGCATGCCTCTTTGGCTGCAGGAGCTTGATGTTGTCAGGCGAACTCAAAATGAAGAAGCACAGGAAACTGAACTGGACCCAGCCCTGACATCTACGATTTACATGGGCCAGAGTGGCAGGAAAACGTGCGAAGAAAGTTGAACAGCTCCTCGTTGAGATACAGCGGACGTTGCTTGGCGCAAAGTTGCTCCTCGGCTGGGTTGATGAGCCACTGCGATTTCTAGCGGTGGAGTTCTTGAGCAGCAGCTCGCCTGATGTCTGCCCGCGTCGTCCATTGCTCATGAACCTGGCGAACAGGGACTTCAGCCCAGTCTTGGAAGCGTTGCAGTACCTTGCAGGTCTGTTGTTTGCAGACAGTGCTCGCTCACGCTGTTGGTGGGGCGAAGCGGCTCGTGCAAAGCAGAGCTGAGAGTCCTCAGACGTATGCTTCTCATGGTGGCGAGTTGGATTGAACGGAGACACCAGACACAGGTGCTGCAGCTTCCGTGGTCATTGTGTGTGCTGGCTGATCCACAAGCTGACCCTGAATTGGTTCAACAGGCCCTGGCATCTTGGAGCTGCACCTCACCCTGTTGCCTGCGGGCCGGCTTTGCCCGAGTTATGAAGGAGCGTGGAGCTGCAAACCCCCCAGCCTCTTGCATGCAATTCAATGCAGCGAACACATGTCACTCTGATTGCATCGAGTTTCCTCAATTCGTCATTCGGACACTAGAATTTGGGCCCAGCCCTCCCTTGCAACGGTCGGGTCCGATAGCTCAAGCCCAAGCCCCCAGCCCAGCCCCCGACCCCACATGTGGCTGTCATCGCAATGCTGAGCGCAAACATGGGCTGCACAAGGCTGTCGGCCTTCTGCAAGGCCAGAAAGCGATTGGCCTGACGAGGGATTGAGTCTCTCAGGAGGGCTGGTCGCAGGTGCGGCCGGCGTTTGACCGGCTGGGCGAAGAAGAGCGGCAACGTTACCATGACCTGGCGGAGTCGCTCAATGCTGGCAACACCACCAAACGCAGGCGTGCTCACCAGCATGTTGTTCCGCCTCCTGCTGCTGCGGCACAAGACCAGCAGCTTGCCCTGCCTGCGTGCGACAATAGTGTTTCCCCGGTGTGGCAGGCAGCTGTTAGATTCCCCGACTCACAGACACTGGATTCTGCGAGCAAATCTGTGGAGCAGTTCATCACGCACCTGCGCGGCCGTGCCCCTCCGGAGACGCAGGCTTCAGAAAAGCCGAACTCGCCCTCATCTTGTTGAAAGCACGAAAAGTCACCATGAAGTGCATTGGAACGCACACAGTTGGGTTCGACACCATATAGTGTTTCCGACAATCTCTCGGCTCTTGATCTTGAGTTGTCTTGAAACAGTCTAAGGGATGCAGTACCGCGGCTGGTCCAGTCGCAGCAATTGACAGGGTCGGCACTGTTGTGTACGACCGCCCGTGCAAGGGTACTTGCCTGCAGAAGTCCTGTGGCCCTGCGAAGAAGCTGTTCCTAGACCTGGTCGTGAGTCTCAATTCTATTGCAAAGAGACACAGCTCCCCAGCTGCGTTTGTGGGAGCTGATTTGCTGCTGCGATTCTCCATCAAAGTCAACGGCGCCATGACCATCAGCCGAAGTTGCCTACGCGGGCTCGTTTGCCGGAGCTCCACTCAACATCGTACTTGCAAGTGTGAAAAGTAAATACAAAGTCGTCTGTCAGGAGGTGCCATCGGATCCAGTCCTGCGCGACGTCGGCCCAGTTCTCCCCGGCAACTGCGGCGAGCCTCCGCTCGTCGTCCAGCTAAGCGTTGTACTGGTGCGGGTGCCCGAATAGCGTCTGGAAGGCGCTGTTCTCCCCTCCACCAGCGGAGGTTCCTCCATTCATCAAGGATGTCCCTCGTAGGGGTCGGCCCTGCCACTTTGTCCGGAGACAAAAGGAGCTGCGGCGCACCCCGCAGCGTTTGTTCCGGTGCACCGTCAGTCTCGCCTCCCGCAGCGAGTGCGTTGGTTCCAGGAGACCCAATTCTCGTTGGGTTTCCGTTTGCGGGCGATCGCGTATGGCTCCTGGTGGGTTGGCGAAGGTCAGGGGGACCCGAGAACCTGCATGATTGCTTCTGGCCCCGAGCATTCGATGGTCTTGCCCCCTGACGAAGGTGCCCCCGTCGACCATCGTCTTTTCGGTGTTAATCTCGAGTCTCTGTAGTGCGAACTGTTTCTCGACTGCTCCGAGGCAGGCCTGGATCCATTTGGGGTTCGCTCCCCAGATGTAGGCGTCGTCCATGAAGGCGCCGGAGCCGTGCGAAAGCTTCGGGCTGGTCCCGCGGATCGGGCTCGTCAAGGGCCTCGCCTATCATTCCTACCGAGTAGAGCGCTCTCGCAACCACGCTCTTGCCTCCCAGGGCAAGTCTTTGCCGACCGTGGCGGTCACTAACTCGGACAGGTAGCGCTGGCTCATGGAGTCGAAAGCTTTCCGCACATCAAGCTTTATGATCCAGAATTTCTGGGCTAACCTTCAGCTCAACGGACTGCCTCCCTGCTTTGCAGAACAGGCTTTCCAATGGGACGAAGGCATGGGAGGCCCTGTCTCAGCAGTAGCTGCGCCGTAACCTTCAGGAGGATGTTGGCTAAAGTGATTGGCCGCGTGTCTGCAAACTCAGTGGGAGCCAGCGATGCCTGTCGAGCTTCGAGGGGAACTTCCCGGTGTACAGGATATCGTTGAAGAGCCAAAGGCGGCGTGTAAGGCCCCGGCTCTTGTTTGCGTAAATCCCGGTGCGGCTCGTTGTCCGATGCTGGGAGGTCCCTGTGCTCGCCGATGCTGTAGGTGTCGGAGTGGGTCCCCGTGATGGCGAGACGTAGTCCAACCGGCGCATTCGAAGGTCTGCGTTGTACGTGAAGCGGGTCGGCTGGGCGATGGCTTGGGGCGGTAATCGAAGGCCCTGTTCGGCGAAGACTGTGTCCCCTCGGCCGGTGGTTGCGACGGGGTGATGTCTACACAACCGGTGCGCGTAGTGCTGCTGTAGTCGGCGGTGTCCCCGTAGCCAGCGCTCGGCGCTTCTGCGGGGAGTTGCCTTCGTGGTCCACTGTCACGTTGCTGAAAGGTCATACTGTCGCCGAACAAGGCGGCTGGGCTGCTGTCCCCGGAGATGGTCGCTGCCTCAAACGGGACGGGCGTTGTTACGGCGAGGCTGACGTCCTGACTGTTATCCGGGAGGGTTATCGTCCCGACTCCGGCTCCAGGCAGACGATGGCGTCCCTCACCCATCCTCACCCAGTGTGGAAGGCCCGGCGGGTCGTATTGCGGGCGTAGCCTGAGTAGGGCCGCCGATCGGTGGGCAAGTCCCGGATGTACTGGTCAGCAACGGTCACCCTGCCGGACCATTGCACAACTAGCTTGTCAGGAGGAGCGTGCAGCGAGTCCCGGGCAAAGCGCAAGGTGTGGTAGTCGAGCAATCGCGGCAAGAGAGGGCTCAGGAAAGAAAGAGGAAGGGGTCAAGCGGGCGGTTTGAGGACCCCGAGTTCCTGTGACAGAAGAAAAGTCAGAGGCCCGGGGGCGGCTGGAGCTCGGCGGGCCTTGAAGCGCGAGCCAAAATGGCCCTTGCGACGGCTCTCTCTTTCTTTCGGCAGGGCTAGGGGTAACGGCTCTCTCTCTCTCTCTCCCTCTCTACCTGCCGTTGCATCCAGAGGGTCTAGCACTCTTGATTGCAACCACTGGTTCGGATCCTTACCAACATGATCAAAAGCATGAACACGAAACGGTGGTGCCCTCAAACAGCAGCCCGCCTGCCTGCATGACTGCAAAAGTTGCTCACAGCAACACGACATGGAGGACAAATTGCCAGAGTCACGCCTCAACTCGCTTGGGTCAAGGTCCATCGCAAGTGACAATGATGTCCAAGCCAATAGCAAATTAGGGGCAAGAGACCGAACCAAGCCAGAGAGGGCCAATGGAAGACTCTTTGGCGCTTGTTGCATCTCGCTGCTCGCTCGAGGCCCTCGAGGCGAGCACATGCGGAAGCTGCCATGACAACACGGATTCTGACGTTTCAGTTTCTAGCAGCAAAATCTCTTGTCAACTCTTTTGCCCCCATGGCCCAAACATACAGTCGTGTCTGCTGATTCTGATGTCTGCTAATGGCGATGTGTTGAGGCCGACACAGCTGCAGTTGGCCAGAAAAGCCCAGGAAGCGGAATTGCCATAGAGCTCTTATATCTTATGTCAAAACACATTGCACAAGGTGGGGCACTTTTGGATTCTGCCATCCACTTCGTTGTGGCGCCTTGTTCTTGTGAAACCAGAAAACTGCAGCACTTACATGCTTCAATTGAGATGGTCAGAGCAAGGCCTCAAGCTACGAGTTAAGCATGTAGAAAGTAGCTGGAAAGGACGTGTGACAGTCAAGCATGGCGACTGTGAGAGGGACGCTTCATGCGTTAGATGCGACTCAACACTGCCACCTTGAACAACTAACTAATGTACTTGGGGGGACCCCCCACCCCCTTAAGTACACTATTTGTTACCGTCCCGCCGGAAACGAATGTACCGGGATTCCTACATAGGAACAGCCGGAAATGTACTTCGAACCTTCGGGCATCCATGCAACACCCCCTCCCACTACATTAGGTTAGAGAGGTGTGGTCTCAATGCTGGCGCTGTCAGCAAGCGCTTGCCCAGTCTCAGTCTTAGTCTTGTCTGTGCACCAACACTCGGCGTGTCCCTTCGCAACCCAAAACGCAGTGTAGTCGCCCGGGTCCGTGTAGGGGTTCACAGTTTCGCCCCGAGGCAGGCGCAAACGAAAAAGACTCTTGGAAAAGTCATGCTGTCCCTTCGGGCAGGTCCAATGGCATGGGCATCGCATCCTAGTTGTCCTAGAGTCAACAATGCGCCGAGGGGGGCCCTGACCATCTGAATGCTGCTCTACCAGGTCAGACATGGAGCAAGACTGCAGCAAGCCCGTTGGCTCTGTTTGCAGCATGACACATGTCCGCTAGTCGTCTTCCATAGCATCGTCTTCAAAGTCCTCTTCCTCTTCTCCTTCTTCCATCATTTCCTCATCCTCGTCGTCCTCCTCTCCACCGCCTGGCAATGCAACGTCGGATAGCAATGCGACGTTGAATACACCAGCACTCAGCATTCAGCTGGACAGCTAGACGCAGCTAGACAGCTCCGATACTAGTCACACGGAAGCCCTCATGTTTGTACCGCAGCTCTCTGCCGTGCACTTTCAGACACTCCTCGTCTCTCAAGGTTGACCTTGTTGTCACCACTGTCCAGTCAGTTGCATTGCATTGCAGACAACGAAAGACAGTGCAAGCTTCCTTCGTCGGATAGTCAACGAACGCCACTGGAGACTGCAAGAAAACCTTCGATAAGCTTCATGAAAGGACGGGACCTTGTGTTCATGTGAGCCTCCCTCCAACACTGCCAACACCTGAAACTGTGCCGAAAAAAACTTGTTGAACAACGAAAGCATCGGGAAAGAAACCGATCCATGCCAGCAGCAGCATCATCATCATAGCCAGTCAATATGAGCATCCGCATATCACCGCAAAGCGATGCGCGAGCCCTTTGGTCCAGCCAGGATTGGCGATCGCGCATCGGAATCGCGCGAAAACCACTGCAAAACGACACACATGAAACTCGGCACATCGAGGGTTCAATGTCTTAGGCATCCGCGAAGCGAAACCGTCCAAAAATCGCCCAAGACAGCACGGCCCCGCCAAAGGCTGGACACACGACCCCAGGCTCCCAACCAAAAAAACTTCCCCATCACAGGCTTGCATCGTCTTTGAAACCACGACTGTGTGAAACGATGCGTTTCAAAAAAGGCACAATGCGCTTTGTGTCCCCCACTGCTCCCGCCCGTAGTTACAACACCGCCGTCTGCATCAGCTCATCAAAGCAACAAACAAAGCATTCTGCAGCACCTTCGCAGCCTTTTCAGGAAAAACGTTCAAGGCATTCCAAAACCGGCGGCAGCCTGGCGACGCCAGCGAGGCGCGCAGCCCGGAGGGGGCGCTTGCCGAGCTTGCCGAGGCTGAGGCCTTCGGCTTCTTCTGCGCCTTAGGCCGGAGCCACGGCCATCTTGTGACCCCTCATTAGGCGATGGCGGCTGTTTCTCAAAACCCTACCCCGCCCCCTGGTTGGGCGAGGTCGGCTGAAAAACGCACAAAGGGCAAAAAGTAAAGGGCAAAAAAAAACATGAACGCGGAGCAACGAAGAAAAAAGGCAAGAACGGCAAAAGCTGAAAATCAGCAGAAAGCAATAAGCTGCAGCAAGAAATGCAAAGCAAAAACTGTAGATCGGTGCAGAACCCGTTGGAATTCCTAAGTAGAATGTGACACGTGTTCCGATCATGAGTAATGATAAGAATACGCAGTAGTGATAGTATGACCAAATAAGATGCCCACAATGGCAAGGATGGCACCGAAGTGCACAGTATTTCAACCTTCGTCCGAAGGTATGCAGCTCTCCTCTTCAAGCTGCATCAGATATACGGATATACGTTCTTCCTTCCTGTATATAACTCCTTTTCGTCCTTCAGTCGTCGTCTATGCGGGAACGTATGAGCTTCGTCGTCACCAGAGGTAGCAAATTCGAACCTAGAATTTACGTCCGCAATCCCTGGCAGCATACTTAACAGGTGTGCAAAACAAAAACTAAAAGCAGAGAGCAATGAGCCAGAAGCAAACCAAAAGCGGCAGACCGAAAAGCGGGTAGCATGCAAGAGGCGGTGATAAAGGGAAGAGAGCCGCACCTGAGCCAACTTTCAACAAAGCAGCACGACCCTCTTTCTGCACATGCTATAAAACCTTCAACAACTCAGGAGTACAAGTGACGAAGCCGTTTCAGAACATGAATCCTCGACATGCGCAACACTTTTGAGACAAACTTCCGAATTATCCCCTGCGAGGGCACTTGTTCGGCTCTTTTCTTCCGCCGCTCCGCATCTTTTTGCTGCCGCAGCTCCTCTGGCAGAGAGGCAACCGGATTGAGCCTCGAGGCAGACATAGAAGCTTGCGAAGTCTCCTGGGACTGTCGCTGTTGTTCCAGGCGGTCTTGCTTCACCTTATTCTTCGCCTGCGCCGCCACAGGACATCGGCAAGCTGATGCGTTCAGGACACATCGGCCCAGACTAACTGGCGTGCGAAGGCAGCACTGGCAAAGGTGCCTCTTGTTTCTTCCTTGCGAGCTCCTCCTCGCGCTTGGCCTTCTTGGCCTCTATCTCCGCGAGAAGCTCGGCCTGCGACATGACACGGCACTGCACAGCTCTGCTCCTCACGGCTCCACGCGATGAGCCCTTCCCGAATTCTGTTGGGCCGCGAAACCTTCCATGGCAGACTGTTTGGAATTCCTCGGTTGCGGCTCGGAGAGGAAAGTTCAGCCACGGGAGTCAAGTCTGCCAAGCTTCCGGGATCTTTCCTTACTCTTTTCTTGAGACCCAACTTCTTTGCTTCCTTCTTCACCCGTCGCTTGTGCTCACGGATTCGCTTCTGGATGTTGTATCTCAGGCGGGAGTTGGACACCAATCCTGCACTCTCACTAGACCTGTTTATCCACCTTGCCGCCGGGGCGCTTCCGGCTCAGCTTCTGTTTCTTGCTCTTTCTGTTGCCCTGGAACAAGAAGAGGGGAATTCAAACCAATTTCAAATCTCTCATTGCCCAGGCCCTGCCAGCAACTTCATCTTCGACTCTGTAGCGCGCAGCCACACCCAGTTGCTGGGACGGCTTGAGCACAACGTCACGGAGAGCACTGCATTCCACCCGGCGTGAAGCGGTGCAAACCCTCGCTCATAGCCTAAGACAACCGAAGCTGCAAGAAACATAACAATCTGCACTGTACATGCAAGTGGTCGTCTGCCCGTTGCTTCATGCATGTACATGTTCACTACTGCAGACGCTCGGACCTGATGCGACTCAGGCAAGACTGTGAAAGACTTCGACTTTTGTCAACAACTCTCCGAGCAAAGAGACATTCAACATCCAACTAGACAAAAGCAGTGGCTAGTCTTTGGCCTTCGGCAGTGAGGAAAGTGCTGGCAAATAACGTTGCATCCTGCATCGAGGATCCAAAAGCTTTGCTTGCCCACTTCTTTAGCTGCTTGTTTTTCCTGTTGGGAGTTAACTCGTACTGGTCCACGGCTGACTCTGGAGGATGAATAAGCCGAAAATGACCATGCCCCCAAAGCACAGCTGACATAACCCAAACATTCGCAGTGTTGGAGACGGTCGTTGTGAAGCAGATGGCTGTGGGGCTGCTCGAGCTTGTTGCTAACAACAGGCTTGAGGTTGCGCTGGTTGTCAACTAGTTGCCGCTGCAGTACTCGCCCGGTTCGACTGTGACGCCGCTGAGGTGCTGGACGAGGTCATTGTGCCGGAAGTACTGCGAGTGACTCAGGTCGAAGTGGTTCTGGAGCTTGAAACAATCATTGTTGTACTGCTGCTGGTGATTGTCATGGCGCCTGTAGAAGCGGTCACAGACGAAGGCCTGCTGGTGGCTTGACTAGTGCGTGTGCCAGTCGAGATAGAAGTTGCGCCGCTGCTTGCGGAGAAACTGGAAGTGCTACCTCTGGTGTAGAGGAAGAACTCCACTTCAATCTTGTCGCCCTGTGTGAAGCTGACTGCGATTGTGGTTCCTCTGAGATGTGTCGGCTGAAGATGCTACTTTGGCACTTCTAGATTGTCAATTTGAAAATGTTACGATCTCTGGGGCAGCGCCCGGAAAAGTGGGCAAATAATGAAAAGGGTTGGTGAAAAGGGTTGCTTCCATCATCTTGTCCATTCTTGGCCCCTACTCGGCTCTACTCCTTGGCAGAAGCAGCACTTGTCGCTGCCGCTGACAGCAAAGACCTCAGGTGTCCATTGTGCCCAGGCTTCTCGTCGTGCCCATTTCGATGGTAGGAGTCGCCCAACGAAGCGCTCACCAAAGCTGCTCCGCAGCAGTTGCCATCGTCGCAGTGTCAGTACCTCACATCAACCATACTTGCAATCCTTCCGGTACCAGATCCAGTGAAGGCCAGGCGTCTCCCATCGTCGTCAGGCTTGTACCATCTTTACCCAGTTGTCCACAGGCAGGGTTGCCCCATTGTCCAACACCGCACATCCGAGATCCACCGGGGGAGATCTGTGCGGCATGACTGCCAGTGCCGAAGTCAACCACCGGAACGTCGTCATCATCTTACATATATTCACTTTGCATACCCTAATGACGATGTCCCCATATAGTGGTCCTGCCTCCGCCCAGCGGATCCAAGGAAGAAGCAGAGCCAAAGCGGCTCCAGGCGCAGTGGGGAGGGCGAACATCTCCGGACGCTACGAGCTGCGAAGCACTCATGGCCTGCCTTTACTTTCAGAAGCACCGCTGATTCGGCCACGAGCCTTGAGCCTCAGGGATGCCATGTCCATTCTTCCAAGCTTCCAGTTTTCTCCCGGCTTGTGAAGTTGGCGTACTCAAAGTTGGATCCAAGAAGCCTCGATCATCCTCTATCTCAGAGCCTGCTTCGCTCATCTGTTCAGCCGCTATGTGCGCCCCTCATGGCTCAGGCTCAGGTTTGCGATGCGGGCACCTGCAGCAGCACCAAGTCGCGTCGTCACTCTTGCCAAAGTGCTCGAGAGTCTTGTGTACCAAAGCACGCAGTCTCCCAATGCAGACAAGACACTACCATGTCGATATCTCTCAAAGTCACCCGCAAGCATGATGCGCACCATCATGACAACCTCGGCCAACAGAATCATGGAGCCGTGCAATGCTGCTAGTGCTGCTGGTGCTGCTACTGCTAGTGAAATACTTCGGGACCACATGTGCAACCACCATCGCAATTCGTACGGTGGGCCTTTTGGCGCGTCTGTTGCCCATCGCACAAGCCTCAACACCAGCTGGCTCCGAAAGCCTGAGCCCGTCTGAGTCTCCTCCTGCACGAAGCGCGGCACCACCAGGAATCGAACTCCCCGATCGTCGTTGTCTAAGTAATTTTGGGCAAGATAGGCTGCGACAAGCGCACGGTGAATCGCAATCGTTCCGATGCCTCTGACCAGAGGATACTTCCCATGGCCTCCTCCCATTGGCCTCAGCGCACCTGCCATGGCCGCAGCCGCCTGCGGCCAGGAGCAGCGCGCTCTTAGGACTTATACACCAAACCATCACCCGTCATCCGACAATATCCGACATTCAAGGTTTCCTTGATCCAAATTAAAACTTTCTCAACAACCAGCGGGGCCCGGGAAACCGCCCTCAAACTTTCAGATCCATCGCCCCCCGGAAGTGGAGCTGCCGAAGCCGACATCTGTCAGGTCCTCTCTCGAGGCCCCGGGAGCCGCGACGAACGACGAACCCAGATTTTTTGTGTTGTTTAAGAGTCGTCAGAGCCTTCATGCTCGTGCAACCCGTTGGAGAGTCTGTGTAATTCCTCGCCGTGCCATAAAACTGGCTTTTATCACCCATTCGAGCTTTCGAAGATGAGGCCGATGAGATGCCTGTCGCAGTTGATACCCGCCTTTGGTCTGTGACAAGGGGCGTCACGACGAGAGAACAGCCTGGTTTAGCGCTACTCTATGTGCAATGTGTTTCTGCACCCACTCGAGTTTCAAACCGTAATCACGCATGGTCCCGGCTGAGCTGGCACCTTGCCGGGCTGCGTGCTGGCTCCAACGAGAAGTTCCACAGCTGGCTTGCTCTTCTGGAAGGCACCAGCTGGTAATTGCACAGGGTGCACACGAAGATGCAGCTCGTTGCTGTGCTCCGCCTGTTCTCCTTGGCAGTCACTGAGAAAGCCCACCCAACGACATCCTGTCGCTCGAGATCGCTCAAGGCATCATTCCGGCATCTTGAGCCAAGATTCTGCTTCGCGCCTTGCTCTCCGACACTTCCATTCCTAGAAAGCGGTCTTCGAGTGCATCCGGATCTCGACTCAAATAGTCGCTGGCATTGACGACTGACTTGACGCTACGGTACGCAGCTTTTGGACCGATGCAGCCTCGGCAAGAAGCAGACAGAAAACAAAAACTGAGTCTGCACACGGCATTGCCAAGAAGCGAATGGATGCGCTGCCAACCTCCAGGTGCGTGGGAGGCATGTGCAGTGTGTGTGGCTGCCTGCGATGGCTCAACACGTCACAGCCTGGCGAAGACGTGCGGCGATAGCACCGCCCAAGCGGGCCACGTCCGTTGCAGCACTGGCCGTGAGGATGTCACTGCTAGAACCTCCCGGTGAACTAGCGCATCTTCGGTCACGAGCCTCACGCATGCGGATCCCACCTGCAGAGCACCGGACCTGCTGAAGCGGGAATGTCCATGTCCAGCCTGGCCGAGCAACGACGCTGGGATGGTTTCACCGCTTCGCTGCCCGGCCTGGTCGCGTGATTCGACGGGCAACCAAAGCCATGTCACAAGCAAGGCAGTGGGTGCTACGCGACAATCTCACGTGAAATGTTCTGACACTTGCGACACTGACAAGGTGGATGAGTGATGCTGGGTGTTCTTTTGCTGAAGTTTTTGCCGGTCAACTCGAACCAGCCCTACAGCCACATGCACGATCGGCAGGCCCGTGGACACCAAGATTCTTGAAAGCTACCCGCCCTTAGAAAATCTGACCAGATCTCTGACCGAGGTTGGCAGATCCAGCAGATTCCACTGGCACCTTTGAGCTGCTGGTGTGGGACCCGGGTCTGACAGGACTGCGATGGACAGCGGGAGGGTCGCACGAGAGCGTACGTCGAAATTCCAGAGCCAGTTCTGCGAAATCATCGCAGGTGTATCGAGCGGCATTCGAAGCCCTTCTTCTCTTCTCAACAAACCCTCCTACCTACTGTAGCCGCCAGCACCATGCAGCACCTCAAGAAGCACGATCGCAATTCAGCAAAGCTTTGTTGGCACAAGACCCGGCAAGACCCAACTACTGCCTGCCGACTACGCAAGTCTGAAGCAGAACGGGTCATTTCGGTCTGGTATTTCAGGTTGCGAGCAATTTGCAAAGGTCAACGGTGCAAGCGAAGCTTGTGACAAGCTTCCAATGTTCGGCAAACCTGTCCGCTGTCCTGTCGAGGTCTTGTCTGTTGACATCACCGTCCAACAGGGGCGTTACATGCAGCTGCTGCTGGAGAACTCGGCCATTGCCAACGTGTAGAATGTGTCTGCGTTGTACATGGCCATGCTTGGGACCCGTGGCCTCGAAACCGCGATGCATCGTCAACATATGGGGAACTATAGGTACCAACTTCGGGGGCACTAGTTAAGCAGCAAGACAGGCACGGAAGACCCGGTCCAAGCATAACCCTTCTTCGGGACGGCCTCTTCTTCGATTCTGAAGTATCCGTCTTACCACTGTGTGGCTGCTTGATCTTGTTTGGGAAGGCAGGCTGGATCAGGGCGGAAACTGACTTTTTCTGTTGAGCACCTCTGGTATCTCCAGGTGCCTGGATCCCAGAACGCCGAGCCAACACTCGGAATTCTCGGGGTCATCGGCTTCACTGCGTAAGATTAGCACGCAGCCAGGTCGCAGGATTCCCGCAGAGGTGCAAGAGTCCAATCCTTCGAGCTGACCTTGTGATTCGAGCGTGCAGGCCTTTTCGAGCGACAAACGACCTGTGTCCAAGATCTCCTGAAGCAGAGCGTCCTGAAAGTGGAGACGCCGCCGTGATGCATGCTTGCGGAGGAAGGCTGTCAGTGTGGATCTGGGCTTCAGGTCGCCGGTACCCCAGTACCGTTTTTCCAACACATCGCACCTAGTCAAGACGGGCATTCCACAAAGGGCTTGACGCAGCTGTTCGGGAACGCGAAGTTGAAAGACCGCTGCGGACACCAAGTACAAATCGCGCTTATCGGCCGTTCGATAGGCCAGACAATCTCGGAACTTCTCCCAGCATAGATCCCAACCGAAGAAGCTGCAAAAGGATTGCACCGGTCGTGGCACGTTAGCACATCCCCTCACAACTCTAGATCCAGGAAGTGGGGACTTTTCCACAACGACCGGACTGCGTCCTCCGCGCCGCCGACTTCGCATGCAAGCAAAGGCAATACATGCACTTAAAAGTGCCCCCGAATGCCACTTTAGCCGGTGGAAAATAGTGTGAGTGCGCCGCGACCGAGTGATACAGAACAGAGTGCTCATCGTTGTCACAGCCAGGCAAGCGGCTTTAAACGCCGTGAAAGCTGGTGAAGCTGCGGCTCGAGTCGACAGAGGTTGCAGCTCACTCGCCTCCAAGTGATATGTGGACCTGTCAGGGTATCTGATCTTCACTAAGCCTGCATAGGGGCCACTTCCACGTCCAACTACCCTTGCAAAGGCTCCTGATGCTCTGACCATGATGTTGCTTCCCGGTGGGAAGGAGGACTGCTCGTCTTCCTCCACGGGACACGGCGACGAACAAATCCTCGGTGCTGTTGACTCCTTGACCAAGACAGCCAAAAAGAGCCCCGGGCCCACACCCACCCGCAAACAGCGAGCAAGCTGTGAGCCCAGTTCGAGACCATTTGGCTCACTGTGTCTCGGCGGAAACATAGTGCGAAGAACTTTTCCCCCCCGCAGTTTGAGAGGAACGTCGTCCCATGACAGGAAATGGGATGGCTCCTCTCCCTTGTTAGGGTTGGGTATGCTCCATGAGGTGCAGCCCAAAGACGATGGGCAGGCAAGCTGCCGCGTCGCATCTTCTATTTGCACAGACGGGCCATACCTGCTCAAGGCTGCAGCTATGACTGCCTCGTTCTCGACTGGGTGCTGGGCAAGCGCCGCGAAAACAAGTCGTCCACCAGGCCGGAGTAGGCCGAGGCCGCGCTGGAGGATTCTCACATGCAAAGGGTGCCGATGCCAAGCTTGACCCTCGTACTGACCCTCGCATGGGCAGAGGAGTCCAACTCTTTGGCCTGGAACGCAGATGACGCGGTCAAATTCCATGAGAAACTGTCCAGATGGTTCTCTCCCAGTCGGAGCTGTCCATTCCGCGAAGCCCTCGCCGGGCGACGCAGTCAGAAGCTGCGGGAACCGTTGAGGTTGAGACACCGTGAAAACGACAGGACTCCGATGAACTAAATCGACTTCACGAACGAGGTCTTCCAGACTCTCGGCCTTTGCTACGTTCGCAACAAGAAGCCCTGAAGGAATGGTGCCTGGCGGGAGACCGTTGTGCAAAGACTGCGCCAACTCCCGTGAGCAGGCACCACTCATGTCAAGGACTCGATGCTCACAAGTAACCCGCAACAAACGAATGCAAACCTCCGACCATGTTTCCGCCATTCTGACGCAATCAGTCGAGGGAGTGCCTGCAGCCCAAAGACCCGAACAGAGACGGAACAAAATGACACATAGATGCTCTTTCAATGAAGCCGTTTGAGCCAGTAGCTGCGGCAGCTGCAAGGGAGTGCTAAGGCGCACGATCACTCAGGGCCATCCTGCCAAGATCCCAGAATGCCACCATGGCTAGCATGCGAACCCGTGCTTAACCCATGCCTTTGCGGCAAAGCAAACACTCTCTTTGGACCGCGTCCATCGGCGACAGGAACACTGTACATTCTGTACACACGAACAGAATTCCATAGGCTTTGCTTCTCCTGTTATAAGCCGAAGAACCGTCGAGCGTTGGCTGTTGTGACTTTGGCGACCTCTTCTGCTGGCACCTGCCCAAGTGAAAGAGTGCCATGTGCAAACCATCTTTACCCCAGCATAGATGAACCTGCCACATTCGTTGTGGTTCAAGTTGATGGGATTTCGTTTTGAGGCTTTGGGGTTTGAGGTCTAGGGGTTTTTGGATCCCCTCTTTTCCGTCAGCAATCCGCCTGCCATTTTGCCATGTTGGCCGAGGGAGTGGGACACTGCAACAAACCACAGCACCAGTGGGGGAAGGTTTCTTTTTGGGGGCCCTTTTCCACCTGCATGTACAGCTAGAATTCCTTACCAGGAGGCGCCGGTTATTGGGACCTCGGTGGGGAAACGACGAGCTAGGAAGGGTTTTGGGTTTTGGGTCTAGGGTTATACTATCTTCGAACGAGCATCAGAAGAAATCAATCACGTCCCTGTTCCTTCACCACCGCTAAGCCGTTTTTCAAACCTGGCTCAGAACCAAGATCTTGGTTACCAAGGCCAACCGACTTAACGCGGGCACCCACGAGCATTGAGTGTGGATGCTTGTGTGCGTGCGTGGTGCGTTCACCTTGCAACTTGGCACTCTCAAGGGATTACGTGCTACTCAGGTTTAACAGTTTAACACAACCAGTCCCTGGGCGGGAGGTGTCACTGCTGGGAGTCCACTGGGAGTATCAGGGTCCACCATCATATCATGCATCATGCCGTGTCTCGGGCTGCAGTCTTGACTCATGCTGTTCATCCCGCGTGGATCAACAAGTGTTTGCCCCCCATGTGTGCATGTGCGCGTATGTTTTGGTGTCTCCGGGCTGGCGTGTCGGGCAGTAGCGGCCAGCATGCAGCACGGCCTCGAGGCACTCAGCAACTGCTCGGCAAATCGCCGGCATGCAGCATGGTTCGTTTGTGCCTCAGCACCACAAGCAAAGGATGCAGACCCACCCCAACCCAAGACACCGAGCACCAGCTCTCCGAGCGCTTGAGGCCAGCGACGGCCACGAACGCCCAGGGTGTCGGGAAGATATTCTCTGTCCGGCAACATGAAAGGGCAATCCGTCCTCGGTCTACGTGCTGAGCCTCTCGACTGATATCGCGAAGAATGTCAGTAGCTTCGTTGTGCGAACGACTCTAGCATTACCCAACTGACACTCGACATGTGACCACATAGTTTCGAGTCGTGAATTAGCCTGTGCTCTGAAACTGCTGCTGCTGCTGGTCGGTAGAGAACGAGGCGCTGCTCTTTCTAGTTGCAGCCCTGATTGAATCCTGAACTTAAGGACAAGCCGGGAGGCTCTATCATCAGTTGCTCAAGTGGAATTGTGCCATCTTGAAGGAGCTGTCGAATGTGCGCTCCACGCTTCTTCATGGCAGCGAAGCCAGTAAGGCCGATGAAATAGCCTCACTCGGACGCAACGATGAAGTTCTCCAGCTCCAAAGAGCAGGTGCGGTCTAGCTGCTTTAACCTTCTTGCTAGAACTGCTAAAGAATCCCAGACTGAGCAGCCTCTGGAGACGTAAGTGTTCAGATCTTCTGCCTTTCCGGTGAAGCAATGAATGCAGGCCATCTTCGGACACACGCCACTCTCCGCGAGGATGCGCTGAAGATCATCAGACGACCCTAACGGCTTCCCCTTGCTCGCATCTCGGTCTCGCTCATGGAGGAACAAAGGCCTGTTACAGATGAGCTGTGTCGCAAGCACACCCCAACATTCGCACAGCTCGACAAAAACATCAAGTGCTAGAACAACAAGCAAAATGAAGTATATAGGTGACCAGTGTCATGTGCAACTCCACTGCAAGTTCCACTTGCTGTCGACACCAGTGCAGCTGCACATCTCGCCCAGAGAACATCCTGTCATAGTCGAGGCCTCAGTCTCAGGTCACAAACTTATCCGCTTCGCACTATAAGCTAGCCTCACAACAGCAAAACGAAACCGATTTGACATAATCGCCCGAAGACACCACACTCCCCAATCGAAACGCAAGCTCTCTCGGCCGCCAATGATCTCAAAGCATCCAAGGTCTCCGGATTGCAGCTCTTCGCATCATGCGGATGGACACCGGCAGTAAAGAACAGGTTCGGAAGAACCTGAACCCCAGTCTCCTGGATCCTGCATCTTGTGCTTTCAGAGCGAACAGAGCAAAGCTCGGACCTAGCTAGGAGCTAACTGCAGCTACGAACAGAACAAGACTGCGATGAAGACCAAAAAAATGACGGGAACCTCAAACTCCTTCCGCGAGAATTCGGAGGCCCCTACAAGGGTTTTTTGAAGGAATCAAACGATGAGATGCCCAGGGTGCCTAGGGCCTAGGAATCCGAGCAGCTCTCTCTGAGCAGCAGCGCCCACAAGCTTCAGAGCCTTTGACCATCCTGTCGGCCCAGTCCATTCCCGACAAAGCCGGCTGGCATCCCTGGATCCCTTGACACTGCCTCAGTGCAAAGACCAACGCACAAGACAGGGTCACAAGGTCATGATATCAACTTTCCAACGTTTATGGCGATCAAGCTACATCCTGTGAGGATCACGTGGCTCACTTGCGAGGCAGAGGCTCGCAAAAGCTGCGCAGCAAGGTCTTGGGGTGAGCACTTGCCCAAATTAGCCCCGATATCCACCAAGCTACCCACCTCGCCTGCACCTACAGCGAAGTGTGACAATGCGGCTGCTTTGAGGGGTCCCTCTGGATCGTCCCGAACACTCGGGCTTGGCCCTTTTTGGCTCGCTTTTGCTTGTTGCCCGGAGCATCCCAATACTCGGGGCCTCTTTGCCCTTTGTTGCTGGAAATGGACTGTAGCCACCTTTGGTATGAGAAATCAATACCCATCTCCTTGCAACCTTCTCGAATAAGCTTCAGGTATCGCTCTGGTGGCGCAACACTCGTCGGCAACTTCCATTCAGCTGGACTCACAAAAGCCTGCGCAGCAATGACTCTACCATCGTAGGACTGAACGTTTAGCTCAGTTGTGCGGTACTCATATTCGATTTGACAAAGCTTGGCAAAATCCCTGGTGCTGAGCTGGAGAAGAATTCCATGAACTGCGTCTGGGCCATCATCAGCCGGCAGTTCATCTAAACGCTGCACATTTCCCATACCGCCCTTGTGATTGAACAGAAGCCTCCACCCGGCAACTTTGCCCGGAATCTCTGCCAATGGTATGATGCCTCGTCGCTCTCGCAGCTTCCACGGGTTGATGTTGGCCCCAAATCCGAAATACCAGACTCTGGCACCGGTATCGTCTTGCCGCGGCTCCGGCTCCCATCGAGGGCCGCGGTGGCTAGGGCCGCTAGGGCCACTGGCGTTAGAGTTAGAGTAGGGGCCTGCGCCGCCTGTGCCGCCTGCTTTGAAGTCCTCCCTTTTCCCCGCAGACCCACCTAAATGCCAACGTGCCATGCAGCCAAGCGAGCCAGGAGCGGAAGCCCAGTTGATCCAAAGTGTGGGCCCCGAATGCGCAAGAAGGCTTCGAGTTCCTTCCTGAGGAATTCGCCGGGCACAGAACGAGGGCCACTTAGATGTCGTGTTTAAAATCAGATATGAAATCAGCAGCAGCAGGAGCAAAGGGCGACTAAAACCCATCTTCAGCCTCAAGCTGCAAGCAATGCACCGTTTGCCTGACTTGTCGGAGTCATGGCACTTGGGAGGAACAACTCCGCTCAACCGACACAGGTCTCCGAAACAACCAAGGGCTTGTGAAAGGCTTGCTGACCAAATAGAAATGATAAAAGATGATAGAATCTGATAGAAGTATAAATAGGACCTGGACGGACCTAAGCTAGCCCAAGAAGCCTATGTTTTCCACCTGCCGTTCGCCAAGACAGGATCACACCCCACGATCTCGCGTGCACGACGAAGCATGGGCATGGGCATTTTCCCACTGTTGCCGCGGTCGCAGAGAGCCCGGCCAGTCAGTTCAATCCATGTTCAAGCGCCTCGCACATCGCCTGCAGCGGCTGCGGCAAACCAGAAATCCAGCTGCAGTTGCCCCACCTAGCAAGGACCAAATCGGAAGACATTTCGCATCAGCACCACCAGCCGTCAGCTGCAACCGTGCATGCGTCAGTGCATGGTCATCTCCTCGAACTCCAAAATCCGTCGTGAAGTCCAAGAATACGGGCATGTCGAAACCGAAGTCTCCCACAGATTTGGGTCGGAGAAAGCCGACGGAGTCCAGCCACCCGAAAGCCAAGTAAACAGGATCCTTTCGGCGGTCCAAGTTCAAATAGGTCTGGGCATCTTCCACTTGCAACTTCGTCTTGGGAATGTGATCAGTCATCATGAAGAACGAAGGCATGCTGGTCGGATCCAGGCTCTTTACTGTTCGACCCTTTGCCCTCAGTGCCCTTTCAAGCTCTGTAAAGCTCACAGCCCACCCGCTGTCGCTAGCATTCAGCTTGTCACTGTCATCTGTGCTGGCACGCGCAATGTCATCCACGATGTCGGACGACACTAGCTGGTCCCAAGGTGTATACTTATACGTCACGGGTGAGGGCTCGAGCTGATGCTCTCTCCACCAGTCTGTCTGCAAATAAAAGCTGTCGCAAAACTTTCGTGACGGATGCTCAACGGTCACACCGCCGACGGCCTGGCCGTCAAAGTACTTCACGTCCCACGTCAGCAACTCTCTCCTTCCGTGATTTGTCACGAGAAGATGCCGAAGAATAGCTTGGCTCCTGTTGGTCAGAGCTGCGACCTTCTGCGAGTGCACCCAGTGACGCATGTGGGAGATTTCCACGTCAAGGCGAGCATCTGATTTGAGAACGATTCGATCGTTTATATCACCTAACAGAATGGCTTGGAATACGTGGCCGTCTCGAGACGCGACGGCCTGTTGCCGGCGAATCTCCCGGAACAGTTGATCAACCTGCTCCGCTTTGTGCTCATCATGGGTGTCGAAATTCACTCCAATTATCATCACCACAGCTGCCTTTCCATTAATGGTCAAGCGAACAGACTGGAACAGAACCACCTTGTTCGGCCTGCCTCGAGCATGACAACAAGATGACACAGGGCTTTCGACGGAAGGTGCCGAACCTGACGACTTCGAACAAAGCAGCAGGGCATGCAGTCCATGTTTAGGCCCCTTGCTGCTCAAGCCACTGTATGGCACCGCTGGCGAGCGTCCTTGCAAAACTGCAAAAGAAGAGAAGCGTTCATTCATGTTGGAGTCGTTTTACAAATTGGAGCTACTGAGCTGTTCGGAGGATCTTCTAAGTTACCACGGGCAATGCAAGCAATGCTTCAAGTGGGACAGTGGGCAATGTCGCATGCGGTGTCATGAAGCCTTCAAGTTGCAGACGTCCTTTGCCGATGTTGCACGTATACCTTCGCAACCGCAAGTTGTCGGCAATTCGCGCCCAGTTGAACGAGGTGAACGTTGTGTCCATCTCGAAGTATACAACCAAGTCCTGAGACATTGCTGCTGCAATGCTGCTGCACTGCCAAACTGTCAGCAAAACTTAGTCCAAGGCGTAAGGATTAGGGCACTGGCATGCTTTGCTAAGTGACGTCACCATGTCTGGAAAGCATGTTCGCAATGTAGGCAGATGAACCCTCGGACTGTCTCCGCCCGTTCAGCTTCCAAGACGCAGTCGCGATTGTGTATCCAAGCGCACACGGCATCCATGCAATGTGAAGCGACAATGCATGGCCCATGGTTCGACATGTGATCCGGCATCAACACCAGCAGCTAGCCGACATTAGCAAAGGCACGCATTCCCCTGCACCGTTCATTTCCTACAAAAAACAGTATCTTTCCCGTTCAAAAGACTGACCGAAGGATAGTCGCAGAAGATCTCCGAGTCTGGGGAAAACAACATGTCAACTTGTCAACCTATGGGCTGCTGCACCAACACTGACAACATGAAGTTGGCACATGTGACAACGGTGCTACATGAGATTTGGTCGCGCAGGGGGCGCTTCAAGATTCAAGTTCAGCACAAGTCCCTTCTTCGGCAAACGTTCACCAAAGTCACCACCGCAAATTGTTTCTTCGGCCTTCGCGGTTTGCGAAACTTGCGGTATGTCAGGAAATTCTTGACGCGCAATAGACACAAACTGTGAAACAAACAAGTGCCCAGCCTACAAAGCTTCCAATCTCAACATCTCACGTGCTCCTCAGACGATCCGCCGGAGATTGTCTGCTGCACAACTCGTGTGCTGGCATCGGTTGTCGCTCGATTGGTGGCCTCATGAGATACATCGCTTTCTGAATCGTCGCGATTGGAGCTCTTAGCTGGAGCACCTTCAAGAATGGAATCTTCCCCAGGTTTCAATTGCAACCGCTCATGTTCCGACACTTGATCCAATACCTGCTGCCAGCGTTGTCCCATTTGCCGCCATCGTCGCCTTGGCCGTCTTGGTGCTTTGGGGTCGAATGATGCCAAATTCCACCAGACACGTGCCGTGTTGGCAAACGCACTGCCAACAAGAGCTGCGAAGATCCCAAATACAATCGGGCGACCATATGTGCCATAAAGCCAGGCTGCGATGGCTAAAACAAAAAACAAATAAGATTCCATCATGTAGATGACCGTCTCTCCCAGAATTTGTGGGTTGCGCCGTAAGAACTCGATAGCATCTGCATCTGTCAACGAGTCCCAGTGGAATAGTGTCAACACACAGAAGAAGATACAGTTTATGTTGGCAAAAAAACATGTCAAACACAATGCTACATATATTTGGCGGATTTGAAACATTTGGAACTCCCCAATGCAGTAACCTTGTGGAGTGATCTCGTGGCCTTCAATCAGAGCACCGATAACTGTCGTCAGGACAAGGGAAGTGGTGACACCGATATTGGTCCATGCATTCTTTGCGGAGTCCTTCACTCTTTGCAAAGAACAGTGCCGCAAAATGCTTATGCTGATCCTGTCGTTGAATGCCATGGTAGCTATGAGGTGCAATGCAAACGAAACTGCATATACAATCCACGGCCCTAAGTTGGGAGTGTCCACATGGGCATACCCCAAGTACGACTCTGCATCCTCTGTGGAATTTGGCCTGCAAACGGCGGTGTCTCCATCCATGATTCTGTCCCGAGCTACGGAATCCTACGGAAATCTACGGAACATACAGCCGCTTCCTTTGTAGCAGCTGCAGCCACTACGGCTTGCAAGACTTGAGCTGCGTGTGCGGCGTGAGCCAATCAATGTTGCAGCCCAGCATGACCGGAGATTGCACAACCACAACTTGCAAACGTGGCCAGTCACGGCAAAAAGAATGTGAACCAGCCCGGCTTCGCCCTTCAGCAAGCGACGCTGGGTCAGCGTCGCGACACCTACCCGACTGGTCCCTTCGCCCGGACCAGCAGGGCCTCCTGGTTTTAGGCACCCCACTCGGCAGCGATGCATTCGTGCCGAGACTGCTCGAGCTCAAACGTGCTGAGCACGACAAGCTCCTCACGCGCATCCCGGCTGTCGAGGACCTGCAAGCCGCCTGGCTCCTGTTACGCTTTTGCGCTTGCCCTCGGGCCAACTACCTCCTCCGCGTGTTGCCGCCTGCTGCCACCTTGCCTTGTGCTGCGGCGCACGACGGCGCAGTTGACTGAGTTAGTGCTTGCACGATGGTTTATGTTGCTGCGGAGTTTTAGCGTCTGAGACCAGGGCGGGGCAGCAAGTGCCTCAACAAACCCGCTTGTGCACAGGAGGTCGTTTTGCTGCAATGTGATGAGTGTGTGAGTTTCAGCCTCACATGAGGTTTTCATGTGACGCCTTTCTCAAGCTCTCAAACGGGGTGGGGTAAGTCGTTAGACAGCTCACTGCCATGAGAGTTGCTGGTAGCACTCGTGCTGCCCTACGTCAAGTTCTGCTAAGTCGGGACTTGGCGGACCAAACCGATGCAGTACTTGACAAGGCCGTGCGACTTGCGAGACAAGAAATGGGAAAGAGGCGGCCTTCCAATCTCGACGAAGAGCGGTCAGCTTTCTCAGCTGCACTGAGCGGCCTTGGAGGGTTGACGCAACCATGCGAGATTGATTGGGAGGTCGAAGATTTCAGTTCGCTGATGTGGGAACTGTGGTCATGTGCGACCCAAGGCACTCAATCAGCGACGCGCCTCCCATGTTTGTCAGAAGATGAGGATTCTTGGCAAGAGTCATGTGCAGAATTGCTGGAAACATTGCGAGCAAGCCAGATTTGGCCGCTGGCCAAATGGCGTTTGAGAGCTATCGGGATATCCTGGTTTTTGGCAGTTTTGTGCATCGCTGCCATCCAATACGAGACCTGGACCGGTCGCCAGCGACTCGGCTTGGTGTGCGGCATTGGAATTTTTCCGCTGTTAGGTGAGCTGTTGCGCAGGTATAAGTTCGACCCTGCCGAGTTGCAACTCACTAAGCCGAGCAGGCGACCTGAAGATACCGCTGACGATCAGATTCCAGGAGATGTGATACCACCGCG